CTAACGAAAAATAAATACAGTAGCTTTTGTTTGGGACTGCTTGTTTGTTGTTGTTAAAGGGAATGTCCTATTAGCTCCTCACCTGGTGGATGTTCCAGATGAAGGCTCGAATCCAGAGCCTGATCCTGACTACACAGAATACATGACTGGTAAATCGAATGCCAAATTCAATCACTCTGGAAGCTCCATTTCTGATGGAATGCCAGGTCTGGACCTTTCGGATCCGAAGCAACTGGCTGAATTCGCTAGGCCGGGGCACAAATTGAAAGTACGCAAACCACCGGTTTTAGATGGTGTCGAACGCACTATTGCTTGCCCGCATAAAGGATGCACAAAAATGTTCAGGGACAATAGCGCGATGCGTAAACATTTACATACACACGGGCCAAGAGTGCACGTATGCGCGGAATGTGGGAAAGCTTTCGTCGAGAGCTCGAAATTGAAAAGACACCAGTTGGTTCATACAGGAGAGAAACCTTTCCAGTGTACGTTCGAAGGATGTGGCAAGAGGTTTAGTCTCGACTTCAATCTTCGTACCCACGTTAGAATCCATACAGGAGACAGACCTTACGTTTGCCCGTTTGATGGATGCAGCAAAAAGTTTGCACAATCGACAAACTTGAAATCCCATATACTAACCCATGCGAAGGCTAAGTAAGCATTTACTTCACATAGTTCTAAATATATTTAAGTTGTAACAATGAATAGTATTTAATAACGTGGATCGTTTAAATTGTTATAGGTCACGTAATGCCATTGGAAGACAAGTACAACAAATTCAGCTTCAACAACCTCAGTTTGTTCAAGTTGAAGTTGCAGATGTGGATAATCAACAGTTCATTGTTTATGCTGATTAGCCCCCCTAAAACAATGATCTCATATCCTATAAACCTATTATGGAATATCGTAACCATTAATTAGTAACCTAAACAGTGTAAATATTTTCTTGATACAAGTGGAGCAGGCAGGACATTACTAAAGCTGTTAGCCGTCTTAAGAGATGAAATTAATTAATCGATTTATACCTCTGTGCTTAGACGCAAAGTAAATGAATATCACAAGCACTATACTACTACAAAAACAGCAAAAAAAGAATCAGACAAAACTACACTAAAGAAGACAGTGTATCTACTTCTAAGATGCCGTAAAGTAGAATATAGCGCACTGCTTATACTCATGTTTGAGTCACACTGAGATACTTAGTGCGCTCTCGTAACACAACTGTATATATTTATACGTAAAGTAAAATATTGTATACAGTATATTTTGGAGAAATTCTGATGAGAATAAACTACAAGATACGTCTTTTCCGTCGGACTCAATTGTACCACTTTAATATACTTTTTACACTACTTAAAAATAATTGTTAATAGTCATCGGAAAGAAAAGAAAAACAAACATAAATGTGTCTATTGTGTATATTATACCTTATTGTCCGCAAAATAAGCTACATTTATTCCTGTAAAATTACTAAGATGTTTCTAAGTATCGTCTCATGAATTATCATGGAAAGAGCGCTGTAAGATCAGATGGATGCGTGTTTAATATTATCGGCATTAAAAAGAAAAGAAAATGGAAATCACTGTTCGATTCAAGAGGTGTACATTGATATAGTATATTTTATCCGTGATATTCACGACTATTGTGATGTGCATACGTACATCAATCCAGTGACGTTAACGAAATTGTTAAGGAAAGAATTCATGTCATTTCGAGGTAGGAAGCAATAGTTTATAGACAGATTTATATGAACTGTATTAAATCACGATTGCGTGCATCCCATTAACATCGTTATTCATTAGTATTTGCATATCACAATTTTATATATGCAGCTAAACGCTGGAACGTGACTATGATGCAATCTACTCATTAATTCTAGAATAATTTATAGAAAAAATATTAGACATAATTTATTTCTCGTCGTATAAATTATATATACTCTCATCAAAATTTTTTACGACTATCCACATTATTTTTCATTTAATAAAAGATGAGGAAGATCTATTTCTTAAAAAGTTCAGTTTTTTGTTCAATGCATTTTAAAGAAACGAGTTATCTGCTGTGTGGGATTAAACGTATCTTGAACTTATTTCTCGCTTAGTTATCATTTTTGCTGGTAGCATGTATCGGTGAGTTTTTGTATTTTCTCTATACGCATAAGCATTTTTTTATGAGTTGTAAAAGATTGAAAGTTATCATGTCAGTTAATAATAAAGTGCATAAAAATCATTACATATTAAAATACAGCGTACGGTGCAATTTGGCCTATACTTGTATTTCTGTAGTTGATAAATGGTCATCCAAAGAAGTTTAAGAAATACTTGTAGAATTTTTCATATCTGAGAAAGAATAGAATCATGAACATCTATTAGAATTTAATCGAGCGATACTTTGTCAACAAGTATTTTTCCTTCAGTTTTATGTTATAATCATTTACCATGATTGTACAGTCTAACAATTATTGCTTCCTGCTGGAAGTAATACGAAATATAATTTGAGGTATACAAAACCATCGGTTTTATGTCTAACAACAAACATTTAACAGTGTGCTGATATTATGTAGTATATACTAGCTTTTCAAGTTG